CCAACAGCTACTCAAGAGAGAGCAGGGGCCTTTGGAGGTATGGGGTAACACGGTAACACTTATATCGGTTTGTACCGCCTTCAGCTTACATTGGCGGTACACAAACTTCCATATTTCTCACTGGAAGTGTCCTTGCCCTTGCGCCTCTTTGCCAACTGCCAGAGCAGATCTGCGGAGTTTCAGCTGAGTGAAATTGAAATTGTGGCTAGGGCTAGCCCTCTTTGATCCCCTTTCTTTGGTGCCAGCGCAGCCGAAAAAAGGGTTGTGTAGGAAGCTTCTAACCGTGCAGCGCCAATCCAAGGGCTTGCCTTTTGCATGATTCTTTTCGGGTTGAAACGAAACTAAAGCCGCACCCTCCGAAGATGGTTTTCAGACACCGTTTTTTGTTTAATACATAGAGGTCGTTTTAATCCAAAAAGCGTGACAAAAAGATGAGCTGGCGTGGCTGAGTTTTGAGGAGAGTGCCCTGAGGTAATTAGTGATAGCCTGAAATGTGGCCGTTCAACCTTTTGGTCACCTTGCAAAGACGGGTTGCCTACGTTGGGTTTTTTGAATTTCCATGTGCACTTCTGCCACCCCGAAGGACAGGAAGTTGCATTCAGAATAGCTGTCGGTAGGTTGAACAGTTTTCCAGGACACCTGTAGGAACCGGTGTCGACCCTCAAGAATGGCTGGGTTTTACAGTCAGAGACTGAGATTGTTTCCCCTTAATTCTACTGCTGGGTTATGTAATTTTGACAATGTTTCAATACTGGAGGCAGATAAAGGCCCCCTGAAAGAAATCTTGGTACGCCCTCATGAGGCTCAACAAGCCTTAGGCCAACATTTGGGAGGCCGGAGACCACGCCCTGGGAGCTCATTGGGCCTCGCTTTTGATCGTGGGACACATTTGACCCAATTCCATCCCGAACATGTTTTCCTTCCCCAAGCCTAGGAGCAACCTTGATCAGGGTTGCTCCACCTCTCTCGTCAACCATCAACTTCGAAGGGAGTTGCCTTTCCTTTTATGTGGTTTTCCTTCACCAGGGTCGCCATGTTTCAATTGTGCCGACCGGTTCGGTCAAATGAGAGCAGTCTGAAGGGCTCCTTAAATATATGTCGGCCAGTGTGAAAGCCACATTTACTATTTGATTGGAGGATCCTTCTGTGAATCATGCGGGGGTGGGGATATGTCTCATAGAGGAACCCCGCCAGCAACCACAAGGGGGGTTCCGAAGAAGGGAAGACAGACTGTCTTCCTTTGCGGGTGACCTTCTTGGGGTTGGTTAGGGAAACCAAAGGGACACCACCGATTTGCTCGCAAGTTCCAATTCCTATTTTGAGACCACCCCATATTGGTGTTTCTCAGATTAATGACCCCTGAAGGTTGGTGTCCATTTGTCTTTCCTGGCACGCCGATATTGAGAAAAACTCGTATGGGCCGTATGAATGTGTCGTTTTGTTAGGTGGCCCCCCATTTTGGGTGGTTTGTCTTCTGGCGTCCCTGTAAAAAATACACACACACACACACACACACACACACACACACACACACACACACACACACACACACACACACACACACACACACACACACACACACACACACACACACACACACACACACACACACACACACACACATACAAACCGGTTTCTAAAACACAATAGGCCCGTGATGCCTTGCAGGTGGAAAAGCCGGTGCATAAGCCTCCGCCACCCCCCAGGGTGGCATGGCAGGCAGGACGACGAGTGGCTTGCAAACCAGTGATTCAACTGGTTTTAGTTTGGTGAACCAGCGACTCACCACTGCCATCGATTTTTCCTGAACACCTGGGGTTGTGTTGTGGGACATTGACATGGTTGTGGGACACCAATTGCCTGTATGTGTCTACTGAAAGTCGATGCATCCCCAAAACCCAGCCTGTTTGGTTTCATCAACATCTAAGGAAAGGCGCCACCAGTTCCTGTTTGGGCTTGCGTCAGCAGAACCGTTGGACGATGATAACCTGAATTCCCCGAACAGTCCCCTTCAAAAAACCAAGGGTTGGCTCACCAGCCCTCCGGGTGAAACCACCCGCCTTTTTCATGGATGATTTTGATTCTTTTGGACATGTATAGTGCTGCACAACTCTGGACTCTGGATTATTCCAGTCTATAAGCAGGGATGGCTCTACTTAATGGGAAACAGTTGAATCCTGCTAATGGGGTTGAGCGTTGACGTTGGCAAGGGTATTGCCCTCCAAATATATCCGAAGTGAGCATTAAACCTTCACGGCGATCGACGCCCGACGCTCGACTTTATCGGCAGCTGGGAGGTGGCCTGCCGCGTGCGAGCGGCGGGCAGCAACCGGCTGTTCCGATGTTTCCTTTGTAACATGCTGGAGGCGAGGTGGGGCACAAGTGTGTGTGTGTGTGTGTGTGTGTCCGTGTGTATGCGTACTGCGTAGGCGTAGGTGTGGTGTAAGTCCAGGTGTAGCTCTTTTTTTTAGTGTGCCCCTTTGAAAGCACCTGGAAAAGCACCAGTTTTGAAGATCCCCTAGTTCAGGCACAAACCCAAACTACAGACGACAAAGGCAGGAACTAGGGAATGTTGCAGGAACCCTTGCGCAAGATGTGGTAAGACTTGGCCTTTGCTTGTCATGGCGGGTTGAAGATTGCGAAGGTGAACCAGCCTGGTTCAATTCAGAGTAGACATACAGGAAACCTCGTGACCTGGTTTTGTAAGGGCCTGTTTTTTGGAGGAACCTAGCCATTTTAGTGGTCGAGGTTCTGAGACAAGGCGCTAAAAGGGTGTGGTTGGCACCCGAAGTCTCGGCAGTGGGAACAAAACAAGCCTTCCACCCGACGTCGTCCTTGCTCATCATCCATCATGAGTCCAACAATTCGGGCTCTGCATGCCTCTGTGCGCGGAAGCTGTGTGCTAGGGGTAAAACGAGCTCACCCAGGCTGGCAGCTTAGGGCTCACTGATATGGGGGGGTGAAACGAGGGTCAATCGTGGCGATTTGTGCGGATGGCCAGCAGGGCCCCTTGAGTCGGTGGCGCGGTTCCTTTTTGCATTCAAACCCAGCCCCAAACGGGGCACCCTTAAAACCCCTCCACCTACTCCCCCCCCCCAACCTCCACCCCAATGACGCGTTTGGACGCTTTTTTCGGGCGAAGAAAAAGCACCGACCGGATGGATGTCAGGTAGCGCCCAAAGAATCTGAGCCGCAGCACTTCCGCCGACGCTGGGCACGGCCGAGCCTTGGCAACAGAGGTGGGGTCCCTTGTTCCTTCGATGGCTTTGGGGTCAAAACCAATGGGATCCCATTTTGGGATAGGTGCACCACCCATGGCAGAGCCAAATTTGTGGGGATTGGGATGTTCACTGGGGGTACGGTACGGGGTTTTGACCCATGGCCAGATGGTGCTTCCCTGGAAAAACCAGCCCAAAAAAGTGGTGCCCCTTGAAAACCAACTCAAAAAAGGTGGTGGTGTGTTTGAATCCCGACCACACAAAGGGTGGCCTTTGTTCCCGCGAAAATTGGGCGTGTCAAATGGTGGGGCACGAAATGGAATTCGTTGCTTCTTGTAAAGATAAAGCCACTGGTAGCTGAATTGAACAAGGCTTTCCGCTTTTTCCCCAAGTCAGCGCTTTCCACGCGTTCTTGCATGCCCGTGCGTGCGCGTTGCCGTATCTGAGGTGTTTGAACTGTGCCCAGTTCGCGCACCGCTCTTGCTTGGAGAGGCGGCTGCTGGCGTTTGATGCAGGCGCGAGCTCACGTTTTCTCATTGATCCCATGGATTGCTTGTGTTTGTTTCCCATGGCACCTCCAACCTGATTTTCAGTTTCCTCTTGGTTTCCTTCCTGAAAGCAAACCCAAAAGGATACCCTCCCGGGCATACGCTAATGTCATCGTGTCCCCATGATCAGAGTTCAGGCCTCGCAAACATGAGGTGAGTGAAGTTGGGAGTCAGCCATCGAGGTCTGGTTGTGGAGACTTGGCTTTTGAGGTCGTTTTCTTTGTGCAAACCAAGGGCATACGTTTTTGTGCAGAAGTGTCCCAGGACGGAATCCGCAGTCCGCGACACACGAGGCAAACAATTGAGCGTGCCCGCGGGCCGTCATGCCCCACCCATATACAATGCACAACAATTAATTAACCATGATTCATGATGATAGGCGCTTACATTGAAGCTTCTCATTTAAGAGTCCTGTTTGCAAAGTATGGTAGTTTGTGCAGATACAATACAATCATGTTCAACCACCGGCAAAATGTCCTGTGCTCTGCTGTTGCTTTGGGGAGAATATGGGTGGACCGTCCACCCACAAATCCAGGCGGACCGTACTCCAGCAATCCCGCAGCCTTTCACGGAGATAGAGTAAGAGCGTATGCACTTGACTTTTTGCTAGCTTTCTCTTTGCGCTCGTATCGACACGGACGTTTGGCTCAGATTTGGAGCAGCGTGTGGTGCAGACGACTCATCAAACCAGGGTAGAGACGTTGCAACTCTTTTATTTGTTTAATTAATGACATAGCCAGCTCGTAATGATTAGGTTTGGCCTAAAGGGGCTCCCTCAAAAGAAACACCCCGATCATGTTTTTCCAAAGCAGATGACCGTCACTTTTAGCTTCCAAGAGCTTCATATTTGCTCCGCATCACACAACAATGGTGGTGTATGCCAAGCGCAGACCAACATGCGACCCAACTTTAGGTATTCTGCACGCTTTGCTGGCTTTCGTTTTGCTCCGCTACAGCTCTGTTTGTAGTTGGTGAACGGCTCAGTTTATGGCAAGTTAGCAGCCCATTTCGCACAAAGTAGCTTCTGCAGATTTAGCCCAGCTTTTGCTCCTGGTGCAGGGAGAGTTGAAGCAATACTTCAAGCGATTGTGAATCAGTATCCCAATTGTTCTCTGGCACCAGTTCAGCCTCGCACTGAAAATGACCCGAAACAGGCTTCCACTTCTATTTCCACTGCTAGGGTGATTGTGTGAAACTGGGGTATTCAACCGCAGGGAGAAGCAGTTGTTTTTGAGGGACGACCTGAGCGATGCTCATGTAGAATTATCCCGCCCCGGCGATGATTCTCCATGCTCGCGCCTGGGTCCTCCTTGCGCTGGGGTTCTGCTATGCCGCGCGCGGAGATGAGGCTCGGAGAAGCCAATGGGGACAGACACAGCTCGTCCATGAGGCTAGTTTGGGATACAAAGGGGTTCCCTTATATATTCAGCTTGGTGAATTACAGCAACTTGGGCAAATGAGTGCGGGCCTAGTTTATTATATACATCAATGAGCAAATGAGCAGATCTGAACAAGTGATCGACTCCCAAACAGGGTTTAATTTATTTGTCCTCCAGAGCCACTGGGAACTTCGACTCCAGCAAGTCTCATGTGCATAGGGGGATTTCTTTTTGAGATTGGGCCCAGTTGGATGTTGGTAACACCTTCCCGGTTCCGCGTTGTTTATTTTAAGTTGATGGGTCGAACTATGGAGCTGACCTTTGAGAAGTTGGCGGCAGAAGCCAGCCATCTGATTTCCTCAAGAAAGACCACCCTCCTCTCCTTGTACAAGTGCTATATGGGTTTGTTTGTAACCCCAAAAGGGGTTGTTTTCGCTGAGTTTCCTTGAAGGAGCAGCCACAAAAAGGAAACAATCATATTCATAGCCTCCAGGTCTCCACACGACCCTTGTGAGGAGTGTATGGTGCCACATCCCAGCAACGAGAACTGGACTCTCGAGGGAGCGGAGCCTAGGCCGAGCTTTATGCAGACGGTTGGTATCTTAAAAAATACCCTTGATACATCGGTTATGCCAAAGGGGTACCCAAAAAGGGTCCTGGAGAGCCCTTTGATACAGAAAAATGTGCCCAAGGGCCATTTGCCATGTTTTTCGGGTATGACGAGCACTTCTTGGCAGAACGAGCGCTTGCTTTTTTCTGAACGCTTTTTGGTATGCACCTGCTGGAACTCGATGATGAAACTGACTGCACTGTGACACAAACGGCTAGGTCGCTGGGCTATCATACTGTGAGTGGGCACTTGTCATGTCGTGCAGTATTAAAGCATGAGCTGCGCGCAACCGGGCGCAACTTGGCGACTTCAAAGGCTGGGCTTCAAATTTCGAATTGGAATTTGTGTGATCCAGCATTTGAATGCTCGAGCATTTTGTCAGCTCGGCCACTTTTTGTTTGATACATTTTTTGGGTAACAATGGGCTGTACAGGGTGTTGTTTCTTTTGGTTGTCCTATAAACTAACCCCAAAAAGGGTACTCTCAAAAACACCCAAATGATTGGCGATCCCAGCTGCCTTGATATAGGTAGCCAGGTGTTTTGTTTTGCAGGTTTATTTGATGATGGGCTTCCTTGGTTACCCACAGGGCTACATGCAGCTAGATAAGAGAAACCGATCCTAAGTTTTGGGAGAGGTTCAGCTGCCCTTCAAGGTGCCGGGACTCTCACGTTTGCCTCTTACATGATCCGCGTATCATGGTCAAGCGACTCTTTGGTCTGTGACAGTCATGAGTCATGGGCTTTTTGGGGAATTCATGCAAGCATAATGAGGGTTCCTATTGAGGGAACTGTAGCCATGATCCATTTGACCGGTGTTTGACCATGGCTAGGCGCGCAAAGCGTACCTGAAATGTCCACTTGAGTTGCGGATCATGTTGTGGGTCTTGTGCCCAGTTTGGCCATTTACAGTGTATTTCTGGTCGGGATATGTCGGGATGATGTGAAAATGCTGCGTGTATGAGCCATGGTCGAAACACCTCTGTACTCGGGTTTGGTAGGGATTGTCATGGATTCATGGACCCCCTGGAGGGATTTTACACAGCAATTGCAAGGGTGCTTGTCAAGGAAATCATGACCATGCTCCGTAAGATTCACTCATCGCTGATCACGATGACGTGTTTTTGAGGGTACCCTTCTCATCATGGTAAGCCAAAAGGACAACCGACGCCATTTTCGGGGTCCCCCTGTTTTGACACATACCCAATTAGAATGTGACCACTTGACCCCGTATTTCCAGATATTGATATAGCGCCAAAAGGCATGCCTGCCAGTCTTCTAGTTGCTTCACTCGGACACAGATATTGCGATTGCACACTTTTGAAAGGGTGTGTGCCAAAAACGATTGGGATGGGACGAAAGGCCACCGAAGCACGCGACCATTACCAGGGCCATCAAAGGCGACTCCCCTTGACCTTCCCATGACTCTACTTGCGAGTCGGATCACAGGTAGTTTCCCTTCGCTCGCATAACATGACAGGCGGGTTAATGTAGCATAGGGATCGCTGGAACCCATTTAGAACCACCCAACTTGCACTGTGTTTCCCGTAACATGGCAGTTTGCTGCACCATGAGCATGTGCTTGAAGAATCCAAGGAGTTGGGTCGTACAGTCAGAACTTAATGACGCGTCAGAGCATCGAGTTTTCTGCGAGCATTCCAAACGCAAACTTGAGCCACGAGGACTTGTGATAGCTGCACTTGCCAGTATTCGGGGTATTTTGCATGCAACATTGGGTGGGTTTTGCATTGCGCAACTTTAAAGTGAGTTTCCATCAGGTGGGGCGGGAACCCTGTTCTTGGATGACAGGTGGATCAGTTTGCCGCTTATCTTTGGCGGTTCCCAGTCATACCCCTCTTTTTTAGACTGTAGCGGGAATGATGACGCATCCTGGATCCCACTTACTACCATAGTCGGTAGCCAGCCCTTTTCCTTTCGGTTTTTGAAGGGTGGTTCCCTTGGTTGCCTACTACGAAGGGAAATGGAATCACTGGGCAAGGTATGCATTCAAGCCGTTGCATTTGATCCCAGGAGTTGCAGTACAAGCTGTTGCGCTTCTATCAGAACCAAGGGCCCCCTCCCTTGGAGGACATGTGCGTTGATGCCATACCCAGACCTGGGCAAAGGGTTGGTGCTGTGGAGGCAAGCAAGCACTCACCTGTTGTTTCTTCCAGCCAGTCAACTCTGCAGGTCAGAACACCAATGTAAAGGCTAAACACGGAACAGGAGGTTGAAACCATTTGAAACCTCTGTCGCGGCCGAGTCAGAGTGGGGACATTCCCAACCGGCTTGTACTTCCCAACCAGCGGGTCAGGAAATGTTCGACATCCGGCGCAATGCGGATTATGTTGTGCAAGAATGGCACCTAGATTGTTTGCGGCTAGCTAAATGCGAGTAGCCCTGGTTGTAATATAGTTTGCAGGGGACAAACATTTGGGCGTTCACTGGGGGCGCTACTGGCCACTTGCCTCCGGGGCATCTCAGGTGATCAAGTTAGGCAACATTCTCGTTTGGCACCTCAGTTGCCCAGTGGCGCCCTTTTTTCCTTTTCTTGGGGGGCAAGTGCTCCCCTTTAAAGCCAACCTACCAAAAAAGGATGCCCCTTACTTTCCATGGCCACTGGGCATCTGAGACACTGGATAGGCTTCTATTCTTTACCTGGACGCGTGCATGTACAGCACACGGACTGACACGGGTGGTGTGTGTGTGTGTGTGTGGGGTGTGTGTGTGTGTGTGTGTGTATGTGCGATGTGGCTCGGATGCAAGCGGCGGGATTCAGACGGCCAGTAGTGCCACTTCTACCAATGGAACATACGATTCACAAACGGTTGGTTGCTTGATAGCGGATGCCTATCCACTAGTTGTTTCCCGGCCTCAACATTGGAACATGAGTTGTTCAATGGCAACATCCCCACTGCCTAACTAGCGTGATAAGGGAGTGGGGTCCACGGGGGGCCGTTGCCATGCAAGCCCATGCTCTTCCTTGGGACGCACAAGGTATGAGAAGCGGTGCCGTCAAAAAATCCAGTTTGGGGTGGGGATGTGGCAGTTTCCCTTTTTGGTTTGCTAGGCCCCCAACTAGACATACTCAACCCCCAAAATGATAACTGCTTTTGGACTCAACCGAGTCTAAGAAAGGACAATATCTTTCAATCAACCAAGCCTTGATTGGATTCAGCATGGCTTTTTTTTCACTTGATACCCGTTTGTGGGATTTGTCTTTTAGGGCAACCTTAAAGCCTTCTCAGGTTTTGATTCGCAGTCACTGGACTTGATTTCGCACAGGAGGTATTTCTGTCCACGCAGAACCTGACCACAGAAGTGCAGGAGAAGCTGATGGGTGAGTGCCCGGGCCTGCTGATTACATCGCCGCTCAGAGAAAACCACACATATTCCGCGGTCTGGGCTCGTGGTTTTTAACGGGTACATATACCGTTTGTTGGTTGTTTTAAAGGGCGACCGAAAGGAAACCACCCATTGTGGAGGTTGCCGTATTTCTTGAGATAATCCCGTTCAGCTCGCCCTATCCTGGGCGCTCTTACAAAGGCGCTGCGGATATTCTGTGCGTTCGGTCGATATGTTTGCTTACAGTACTTTCGCCCACTGTATTCTTGCGTTCGGGCAGACTCGCTGTCGATGGGGAAGGTCTATGTTCAGAATGTGTCCAGCTAGCTTGGCTTTTGTTAGGGCAGGGAGAAGCAAAGCGGGATGGTGATCCAAAAGTTCCTCCGTAAGTGTTTGGCAGCGCAGAGGAACAGACTTTGAGCAAAAAGTGGGCGACTGTGGCTTTGGGCTGTGGCTTTGGGCCGTGGCTTTGGGCGTGGGACGTTCGCTTTTTCCGATCTTCTGATACTTGCTTCGCGGTGGTGCAGACCAAGCAAAGTTAGATCAGCCACACCCAACCAAACTTCCCCCCACCTGAGCAACTGCATGAGGCTTAAGAAGATCAGTTGGCAGCTGGGGCAGCAACCGGAGATGCGAAATAACCTCCCCGCCGGAAGTGGCAAGACGGGCGGAGGGGTGGGGGGGGGCATGCCCCCAACGCAGCGCCACAAGTAGAGGCAGGTTGGCCCCGAACGGTTTCCCAGTTTTCCTACCCCCGGCATACAGTTGCAGGGTCTTAGAGTAGGAATAACTCTTTGAACTATTCCTTTTAGCGGAGACCGCCATTCAGACATTCATGCACTTAGTGGGAGGTTCGAAAATATCAGACGCCTTTGAGGGCTGGGACGAATTCTCTCTGAGGCCGCTTTGTTTCCTCAGGTTGCACGGCATGCCCTAAGGTTCCTGGTCTTGGCGGAGGCCCAGCTCCCCATCTCCCGGCGCCGCTCCGACGAGGCCTTGGCCAAGGCGAGATGTGCTTGGAGCGTCAGCGGAGTCCAGGGTCGAGCCGGGCAAAAACAAAGAGTGCCATGGTGAGCGCAAGGCCCACACCAAGAAGCCCATTGCCTGACTCTGGGGTGGGTCCCCAAGTACACCTTCATAAGCTTTATCAGCGCCTAACCGTTAGGGGCCTAACCCTTTTGAGGAGCAACGGCGTATTTTTCACGGGATGTCGCAAGGCCGATGCTCTAGCCTCGCGCCTCAGCGAGCGCAGCTACAGCGAGCAAGCAGAAATTTGGCCCGTCGAGGCTGAGATTTGGGTGGAGTTGTTTTTTTCTTCCGTGTTTTGCCGTGTTTTGACGTTCTTGAGTTGTCCTCTTTTTTGGTGCGGCCCTTTTACACTGTTCGTATTAGTTGCCTTCTTGTTCTTAGTGGTCTTGACGGAGAGTCGATAGGTTCGTATACACAAATTAAGTATCTTAGGTGTTGGGGTCATGGCATTCAGGCTATTGGTTTTCTAGCTCGGCTACAGGAAACGTTGCAAGAATTTAGCCAAAGAAACTGGCCCAGCAGACAAAATGAGGTTTGGCTGGTGTTGTTTCCGGCTGGTGTTGTTTCCTGCTGGTGTCTTAGACTGCCTTCCATTCCGCTCAGCAGGAGGCTCTGCAGAGCTACCGTGCTGCGGCGGCTGCAGTCGCATCTGGAGATGACCGGGAGCGACAGGCGAGGGTCTCGAGCCTCGGGTGCTTCCCCGCGGTTTCCGGTCTTTTGCCGTGTAATCAACCCCCCACACATACCAATTTGAAAATTAAAATTGGCACGCCGCGATAATCGCCAGCATGTTGCTGCCATGATCACGGCTCAGTTTGGGTTCAAAGCATGCGGCAACCCTACGTCAAAATGTTGACCCCTGTTGGCAGCTGTCAACTGTGAAAGTCAGAGGATGACGTTTGTGTGTGCCATCATTTGACTTTTTGTTCCTTGGGACCCAGAAACTAGCAACAGCCTTCGCTTGGTGCTTGTGGTGGACAGGGTGCCAGTGCCTCACTAACAAAAGCATGCTGGTAAATGGAGTGAAGTCTCCTTATATGCGCGTGAGTGTTGGGAGGATATGCCCCCAACATGTGGTCTTGATCCTCACCCGGGCCAAGGTGAGATTATTTTAGTGCAACGCTGAAAACTGCATACGGCCATGTACGCGCCTCACAGTGGACATGAATCCCCACCTAAGTAAGGTCCACCAAAGTGTCGCGTATCAAAAATTACACATCCGCCTGGGTTTTGGGCAGCATTACGCCACTAGTCCACTTGACTCCGAACCCATGGGCACTGGGTGTCCCAAACGCTTGCTCCGAGCCTCAAGATCAAGTCACGCCCCCGCCAGACTTTTTGGAGCCCTGTTCGAAGTGCTCAGCGAGCGGGCCTGTTGGCCAATCCGTTTTTCAGCGATGAAGGTTTTCCCAGTTTCATCCACCTCGGATGAGATCTTGAAAGAACCTACCCAAAGCTACCTACCCAAATCAACCAACCAAAAAGGCGACCCTCAAAACCAGGCATACCCAAAGAATTTGCATCCAAGTCCGGGGACTCAAGTCCAAGGTGCATATGGTGATTTGCCACTGCCGGGAGTCTTTGGATTGGCTCCAAGGCGGCGATGTTGTCTCGAAATGCCGAAAAGACGACGTGCTCCAACAACCATTTTGACGGGGGCCCTTCTTGATTTGGTGGCAACACTGGATTCTCCTTTAAAACGATGGTATGTTTTGGGTCAGTTATGAAACACAATGTGAACAACACGTACCTCTTATGTGCGCCAAAAACGATCCAACCCCCTATCTCTGCAGGTTAGACGCTTTTGGACATACCCAATGGTTATATAAATCTGCTAGGTGGCAAAGGCTTTGAGGAGAGCTGTGCTGTGGATGCAAGCCCATTTGGGCTACATGCCACATGTACGGCTTTCTTGGGTTACGTAGTCCCCAGCCAGACCCATAGACCGATGCTTCCCTGTTCACTGTCGCCCTGTTTCATATCGATAGCACCGGGGCTCCAAGCCGGTGGCTCAACGAGGGTAGAATTGTTTTTGTTCCTTTGGTTGCCTTGCAGGTACTGTTTTCCAACCCTGTGAAGCTTTTTGGAGGTGATGTCGTTCAGCGGTGATTGAAGCTGTCGGGCCATGCCAGTTTTTATTGGGCTTCTGTCGCCAGGATCTCCTTTCCTGTGACTGAACTGCTAGAGGCTCCACTCAATAAAACATGTACATTAACTGAAAGGGTCCTGACCCCATTTGGGTTACTTCAAGTAGCGGTCTGCGCAGCTTCCGTGAGCCGTGCTGGGATGTTCTTGCAACAAAGGGCATGCAAGCCAACTAATCAAATCAAAGCGTGCCCACCACCGTTTCGGGCCCACATTTTTGGCGCCCTGTGATTCTTCACGGCTGCAGTCCCAGTCCCAAAGCGGGTTCTTTGCTCATGGCCAGAGACCTGGGGTTTGGACAGATCCCATGCCGACAGGCCCCAGCTTTTACGTGCCCAAGAAGGGTGCAGCTGTAGATGCCTCCGGTCTGCACGTTGGTTGGTGTGCTTAGGGCAGGGCTACTAGGTCCCCCAGCTAAGTGCCCTTTCTCACCCCTTTTTTGGTTGCTCCCCTACTAAGGTAGACTACAGACAAAAAATGGGTCACCTTATTCTAACCTCTGTGCTGGAGGACCTAGGCTATGCCTCCAGATGGTGGGTGGAGGACTGATTTCTAGTTGAGGCTGTGGACGGAAAGCGAGACCCGTAAAGAATCCTGCAGAGATGGCCCGCCCTGGGTTTTGCCAAACAGGGCCGTCAGTAGCAAGGAGGATAGAATTTGCTGAGAGGCAACAACAAGTGTCAGCCGTTTGTGAACTATTTCACTCGCTTTGAAAGCAAGTATCTGGAAAGGGCGAAGATTCCAAGGTCTTCATCTACGAGAAGTGCAACTTCGAGACAAATCTGGCCCTATCGCAGAAGTTTCGGTCCGTGTCGCGCATCATCGTGGATGACCAGGCCCCTGTTTCGCGGATCGGATCTACGGAGGTGGAGGGTTTGAAGTGGCGAGGGACCCAAGTGCTGAGAGCTGCTTTTGGATCAGTTGGACTTGGCGTTTGAAACGTGTGCACCCGACTCACCCCTTGCATCGTGGCGAATTCCTTGGATTTGTCTGATCCCGCAAACTGTGAGTGATTCTTGATTCTCACGTAAGTCCAGCTTCCTACGCCCCTCCCACTTGTGGCACTTTGCTTGAAGACAAACATGGAATCCCAACAAAAGAGGGCCCCCAAAACGAAGATTCCTGCTCAATTTTGTGTGGGCCAACCAGTTGATCAACTCTCGGGGACTAAACGAAGGGCAAAGACAAGCTCTAGTCAAGGGCTCACCAGATGTTTGTCACTTTGACTCTTCGAGTATCAAGCAATGGGGAACCGGCTTTGGACGTGTTGGCGGACTTTGCGTTTCGCTTGGCTGCTTTGGAACATGACACATTCTTGTTCATGTTTTGATGGTTTCTCCAAGGGGGGTTAAGGATGACTTTCATAGTAGCAGAGTTCTCAAACAGGTCCCCCACTGGTTGGTTTCCTCTTTCCTAAAAGACCAAGAAACAGCGACACGTGCACCCAAATGTGTTCCCAAATAGAAGTGGACCGCTCGGATCGCAAAGGGACATCCTCAAAGCCCAAAGCGTATCCGCAGCCACGTGAACCTCCACGGAACCTGCCACCGCCCAAGGATTGGCTAAGATCTACCTGGACATCCCCCTTTTCAGGGAAACAATGACCAGAAGCAATTTGGGTTTGTCTCCAAAAAAATCGGGACTCCCAGAATGGGACAAACCCAAATTGGTGGTTTTCCTTTTGAGACAAACCCCAAATAGGACTCCCAAACCAAAATGGGTGGTTTTCCTTTTGGTTTTCCCGTTACCACCTCAAAACAAGGGGCAGCTGCCTGCTCTCATGGGAGCTCAGGGCATGCGAAGGGACGAATGCTCCGGATATCTACGACATCTCATCGACCACTACCAGGCGCGGAATGAGTTTGGTGGTTGAAATGGTGATGGCGTCGCCTTTGTTCGAGGGATTGCGCGCATTTGTTATATTGGGGATATTGAAAGGATACGTTTCTTGTGCATGTACTTTTTGAGTACATACAGAATACACATATGTATATATATATATTAAATGTAGACATATATATGTATTATATATATAGTATGTATGTAGTGTTGAAGCACGGAGACCTCAAGGAGCACGCAGTTGCTCTTGCTTGCGCTGATTGTGCATTCCTGGATGCTTCTTTTCATGTCCAGAGAGGATCCTGCGGACTACACCTTCTTCTTCCAGGCTGATGCGGAAGACCACATGCACTTTGGGTACCTGTCCCTTGGAGCGGTTTGGGTGTCAATTTCCATGCGTTCAGCCATTGTCGGCGTGTTTTGAGAACTATGGGTTAGCATATGGGAGCTAATTTTAAGAAACGGGCTGGGCCTTTTTGTGAACATCCCCCCACCACTTTCGAGGTGAGTCACTATTCAAGTTCTTGGCCATTTGAACCAGCAAATGCCTTCCGACAAATTCCTGAATGCGCATGTCCGGTTGTGAGCTCCTACAACGAGCTCGGGCCCCATGATGAAGGTCCAGAATTATCGTTCCTGAATTATAACATTTATTTCGAAGGGTTGTTGCACTACACCTTAGGCTTACACCCTTGAGACTTATATAACCGAACGTTTGTTTGGGAATGGCACCAAGCGGGCCAATTTTCCAGTTGGTGCAATCCCAGGGCGTAACACCAAAACCGGTGCACAGGCAAACACTGAAATATTAATTTTGCAGTTTTTGAGACGATCCAGGGGTCTAGGTTGATCTTTGGTTCACTCCCATTCAGATCTCTGCACAAGAACCGAAGCAAATTGACCAAGTGCCCTGGGATGCCGCCTGGGCGTGTGTTAAAGTAGGGAAGGGGGTTTCGGGTTTCCTTGTGTTTCCCTTGAAGACAAGGTTATTCGGGTACCACTCAAAAACATGAATTTTAGATGTTGGAACCACCTCAAACGGACATGAACCCTCACTGTCACCAAAGGGTGCGTAGTTGGAGTTGATGGCCATATCCACATGTTGCTCAGGTCTTTGGTTCTCAAGTCCATCGAGCAGCACGCGCTGACGCGGCTTCGTTAGGAGTTAAGGGGGGTGGGGCGGGGTTTGGGAGATGGGGATGGGGAGGAGGCTGTGGCAGCATAGGGGGTCCAAATGGGGTGGGGGAAGTATTGTGGTGGCTGTTGTTTAATGGAAAGGGAAGCCGACCGCGGCCCCCCTGTGTCGGGGGTCACGTAGAGGCCCCTGAATGGCGCAATGCAGACCTACACGAGCCGACCCCTATGAATCTCTCATTTCCTCAGCGGACTGGTCCCAACAAAACAAGACTACTTTCAGAGAGCGACTTGATGATTGCTCTCAAAAGTGTAAAGTCCACAAACCGGCAGAGTGGGAGCTTTAGTCAGTTGGCTGATTGAGCATCGATGCTCCCACCCTGGTCTGATCCTCTTCCACGCCTTTCCTCAGAATCCGAAGTTTCCCGCTTACGAAAGGGTTCTGAAATCTTGCTCACTTCACAAGCCTATGAGAACACCCCCGTCCAACGCTTACCTTTGGATCGAAGTGGATCGGGTCCCCGACCCCCCCCCCAGCCTCAAGCAATGCGGCAGCTCCATCAGCAAGGGACCGGATGGGACCCGGATCGGCGACTCGAATCTCATGTTTCATCAACCAGGTTTGGGCTTTCCATGATGCTCAAATTCATGTTTCATCCCGCAGGCTGCCTCAAGAAGTTGAACCTCCTTGCACAGTTTTTGAGGAAGCCCCAGTCATTTTCGGGGCTCCCTGTTTCCAGAAACACCCGTTTGTTATTGGTTATTGAGTGCAAGCCGTTTGTCAGCGAGCGAAGCGACGATCGGAGGTCGGCCTTTGTGCACCTCAACTACCCCCGGCTCATCACCTCCATGTCCCCCTGCCGCGCGGAAGCTTGCTTGAACCACGCACAACGTCATTTTTTGAGCCGTGGGAATTTGTAGTCTGTCTCCTTTCAGTTGTATCAGCCCCCACATTCACATTTTGTATATTATTATTATATATATATGTAGTATACTTGGCACGATGGCATCCTGAAGGGTATTGATACAGTGTTCCTTTTGCTTGGTCTACTTTTTGCAGCACCACCCCCAAGTTTCGGGAAGATCTTGCATTTTTGCCCTTGACAAATTTATGTTAATTGTAGGACGCATTTCAATCCTACGTTTGGGGTTGGACACAAGCCGGCCTAAAGGTGATGAATTTGTCCAGGTCCTTCCTTGGTTGCAAGTGAGGAAGTCTTCCGCCAGCTCTTTGACAGATATCCCGGCAGGACCGACGGTTCAGCCCGGTCCTAGAGGTCAGCTTGAAGGTTCTTTTTCTAAATGGCCCGTGTAATTCCATCACCGGTTTGGCGGTGGAGCTTCAACCACATGTTCACTCAGAATGTCCCAGCCCCTCGCTTTACTCCTTTTAGCTATGGTCAAAGCATGGTTGATTGACACCTCCGTTCCAGGCAAGCTCGCAAGCAAAAGCATGGTTTATACCCACACGTATGTGAACCTCACCTAGTAGCGGTACACCCGAAACCCCCCAAAATCTACATCAGTACCGGCATGTAGCTCCTTGGAGGAACCTGGGCTCCTACTGCTGCGCGCAATTTATGGTCTCCAAAGAGCGGCTTCTCGCCAACCCTTTGGAGAGGCGCGATGCTTTTGTTGTTTTGCCGTTTAATCCCCAGCTGAAAGCTTTGGGTCTCTGCCCAGATACGCTCCGAAGTGGCTTGGAGTGGTTCTGGGCTAGGGTTCTAGGGTACAGATGGGTTCCGGGCCTTCCGGAGATACCACCTGGGCATCTTTGTGTTTAACGTCAAGCATTGTTTGCCAGCGACCATTGTGGTTTGAAAAGCCTCATGCAAGCGCATTGCGCCTTGCGCAGGTACCAGCGCATGCAGCAGATGCTGTTCAGCGACTCCCCGGCGGAATGCCACGACATCCCAGGGCACTCCACGCTGTGCCTCATGTTTGAGGCCCGCTGGTATCCTGGATGGAAGGAACAAAGGCATCCCTATATGGCTTAAGAGATACAGTTTGGTTTTGCAACACACTGTCCAAACAGACATCCGCAGAAAGAAGATCTCCTCTTCAACAAGGCTTTCCAATGAAGGGCCATTGGCACATGGGAATGTCGAAATGGGGAAACTCCCAAAATTGTCCGTGTGTGTGTGTGTGTTGTGTTCCCTTTCGGTGTCCTTTTCTTAAGAACGAGCACACTCTAAATTTGAACATAAAGAACACAATTGGTATAGCTCCTAAGGGGTTATCATGTGCATGTACATAGATATGATATATGTACATACATATATATATAATATATTTATTTATTCTCAAATATATGTTGAGCATTGGCGCATAGGTCTATTGGCACGTGCTCTTCGGTGAGCCGGACGTGCTTCCGCTACGCTCGGAGAACTCTCAGCTTCAGCTCTTTCTGCGAATCCGGGATCTCGAGAACGAGTCGCCGCTCGCTGGCGCTTCGGGACCCGGGGCACCTCAAGCACCGTTTGAGGTGCTTCCGCTTTTGTTTGTTTTTGTTTGAGGGTGGGGCTTTTGGTTTTCCGGACTCTCTACCCAGTGGTCGGGTCCGAAAAAGAGGTTGAGGGATTGAAAAACAGAGCCCCCAAGCGGAAGGGCAAAGTTCGCCCTAACTAACCACCCCCCTGCAGATTGACCTTGAAGCCACACAAAGCAATCATGGAGGAAAGTGCCAAATGGACCCTTGGCATGAATGGCTTTTGGCAGTAATTGATACTCACAGGTTGCAATCCCTCCCCTGGACTCTGACTCTATGTAATCTCTTTTCCCTAACAATGACCCCCCCTGTTTTTTTTCAATATAAGGGGTTCATTGTTGGGGTCCCCGAGTTTTGGGCCAGAACTGTTTCAGACTGCGTTGTTTAGTACTGGCATCGAACAGGAAAGTACTCAACATGCAGTTTCCGAGTAAGAACTTAAAAAGGGAAGGCGCCCTGAAAAGACACCTAACAACTAATAACAATCTGGCTTGTTATCAAACAGAGACCTACTGAAGGGAACCCAATAGAGACCCGAACAATCAAACCCTTGTCACGCAGTGCAACCATTTAGTTTTGGTGCCGGGCACGGCTGACAGCAGCGAAAAAGCGAAGCCTCCTATGAGTAAGCAAAAGGTGGGCTAACCCAGAAATCAGAGGTTCATACCAGAAGCTCACACACCCGGTTTGCGGTTTTGACTTATAGGTGTTTTGGTTGAACAGGGCGGTGTTTCCAAAAATGTTAACCGGTTTTCCTTTAACCTTGCCATACCAAAGGCTTACCTCTCTTTAACTTTTTGGCTGTGTTGCCTTTTCACTGCTCGCCTGGTTGTCCTTCATTTTGTGTTTCAACCAGCAAGCAGCTAACACAGACCTGTCTCATCCAAGCGAACATTTGTCGGGGATGTCTTAAGCCTGCAGAGTTCCAGAATTTGCGGAATCTTCCAATGGTAGATATGGATAGCGAAGATCTTCTGATAGGGGGGAGACTCGGGCCATTGGAATAGGGCTTAGTGCTTCGTTGTTCATGGCTTCTTCTTTTTAGAAACAGTCTTTGATCTGCTCGCTTCAGTTTATGGATAGTTTTTAGCTGTGGAACATGTATTTGTGAATAGTTTGTGTCTCAAACAAACGATTTAGACATAGTCCTGACAAATGCAGAAATAGTCCTGGAATTCTCACCGACATGGCAAATAAAGAGGCCAACGCTGGTCTCAAGTTAGTGGGGTGTCTTTTTCTGGAGACTGGTCTTGAGACGTCACTTCTCTGATCGTACCCAAACATGCCAAATCAAACATCCCAAATCATACGAAGTCGTACCCCGTTCACATCCGATAACACAAACACATACCCTGATCATGTCCAGACATATTGCAACCTTCCCAAGTATCCGCTCACGTACCCCAACTTTCCCCTAACATGTAAACCATATCCACATCTAGTAAAACCTAATACCAAACAAATCGTGCGTTGGCTTTAGCCACGTACGTGGCATCGGATTCAGAACCAACTGCTGGGTTGCTGAGGTACCTGCCTCAAGGCTCCATGTACCTCAAGCTGGCCTCGGAACGAGAGTAGCCAAAATGTGGCGCGAGCTGCTTTTCCGGGCGAGAAATGTGTTTTTTACCCACCTGTTGCTTGAGTTGAATCAACTGTTCAGCAACTGGGAGTAGTTCTACAGGTCCTTGTAAGGAGTTTAGTATTCGGTGACCATCGATGTTGGTTGAGGTAGCTCCGCAAAAGATGTGCGATGGAGTACTGTTTAGCTGGTTGGAATGGCAAGGACTGATGGCGTTAATGCGCCAGATGGAGGGGTGCCTACGTTTAAGTTTCACATCAGCTCTGTTTGAAGAGGTACTTTTGTAGCTAATCGTTGTTATTTTCCGGCTGGAATGGTCAGGAGTGATCAGCAGCGGAATGTGTGGATGCGAAGTGCCACGTGGTTTCAGTCATGATTTCACTCGAAGCCCGGAGGGGTGTCGAACTGCAGGAGATGCCCGCCCCATCCCACTAACGTTGGGGTTTTAAGACCTCGTTTTGGGCCAAGTTCCAGATATCCTCCAAGGCAGGAATTCTTAAGGGGCACAATTACAAATATACTGTACAGGTGTGTGTGTGTGTGTGTTTGTTCTGTTTTGTGAGGGTAGCCTTTGGGGTAGTTTTGAAGGGAAACCAAAAGGAACCCGCGTCCACTTTTTGGGTTGCCCGCCATCGCAGGCTGGGAGGACACGAAGGCCAGGTGTGGGCTGGAGCTGCGACTGAGTGGCGGTAGTACGACTAGGTTATCCAGTAGTGCCCTTTTACCGGGGGAGGGTTCCCCTACTGAAATCAACTACAGACAAAAGGGCACCCTTATTCTAGCCTCTCTACTGGAGGACCTAGGAGATCTATTTACTTGGATATTCGGCAATTCAAAATTCCACCTGGTCCGGCAGTGCCGTTTTGGCCGCTTGGTTGCGGGATTCGTTTTAGTTTTTCAGCCAGAAGAAGGTGCCCGGTCTTCGGCCTCTGGTCTGGGACTTGATATCTTGATATTGTGAGCTGAGGTCGTCGGGCCAAGGGATCGAGCATGGCGCTTGAAGGGCTACGTCCATGTCTTCGCTCTTTCGGGTTGTCTTAGAAGCAACACAAGCGGAAGCAGCTCATTTCATGTCCCAAGCCAGCCGCTTGTCCCCAACCGTTCAGCCTCTCACGATTTCGACTCGCTTCGGCAGGCCGGGGCAGAGCTGTGCTGCAGCCACTGCGGCCAGCCCTACCGCACTTCCAGGCCAAGTTCCCCTCCTGGCAGGGATTGCCTTCAGGGTGCAGGTTTTTTTTGGAGGAGTATGCTTGTTTTCATTTAGGATAGGCTCAACATGCAAGAGGATCAGAGAATGTGACGACTTGTGTGCCCAACACATAATCCATGTTGCTACTTCCTATGTTGACACTTATACACCTATAATTCCCCTTATCAGCGGGTTACAACATTGCCTTTGTGGATTTGTTTTGCGGGTTGATGTTGAAAAGGGAACTATAAGGAGCCTTGTTTCTGACTCCTTGTTTGGTGGAAAGCAAAGTGAAGTGTAGAAACCTTGCCTGAGTGTCAGCCTAGCATAGGGCGATAGTGATGACATGGCACCCTGACAAAAAGCCAATCTGGTGCGGCTATTCGTGGAGTGAACGCGGTTGAAGGACTTTCCGGCAGATTATCATGTGGCGTTTCGTTTACTTGGAAGGTCTCTAGTTGCGTGCGTCTGCAAGCCTTGCAGTTGCCCCCACAGAGTTGCTACTTGCATGCTGTAGACCATTGAAGCTTTCGCAGTGTTAGAGTCGGTGGATATCTTCAACTTGTGCCCGGGAATTCATAGAAACCATTGTAGGAATATCAACAGCACATTTAGCCAAATACTCACCAAAACCAGGAATCTGTGTTCACTTCCTGTATATCCTGCATCTGGTTTCTTGGAGGAATGCATGACACTTGTAGTTTCTTGTATAGTTCCTTTGCATCATGACCTCACCCGCTCTTCTCCTTCCCCTTCTCTTTGGTTTTCCTTTTGTAAGACTCTCAGCTGTTTTGCCCGGGGCGATCGTCGACTTCCGAAGCCTGGCCCAAAGATGAGAGAGATCCTCGGGCCGCACAGTTTCAAAGGCAATTTTAGCAACCGAGAATCGTCCAAGAAATAGTTCAATGCGGAAAGGTGTCCTATTCAGACATTTGCCATCTTTAGCCAGCACTTGCTCAGCTTTAGACACACAAAAAGAGTAAGGTCCTATGGGATAGTCTTATTTTCAATCAGGAGCACCCTCGGCCAAGTCACACTGTTTGCTGCCTATGTGCTACTCCTGTATTGTCAAACATGGCCAATGCACTCACCAATCACTTTACAAAGCAAACCGCCCGGACATGACCTTTGGTTTGCAAAGCACAACAAACCGACCCAACTTAATTTGGCCTTTGGTTTTTCAACAAAAACATCAATTCCGCTACCATGCCGTTTGGCAAATAAGACAAGCAACTCAACGGGTTTCGCTTCCAACCGCGCGCGGGCCGCGGTGAAAGCCCAGCGCATGCCGTTTTGTTTCGCCTCGCATCATGCCGCGGCCTGAGTGGGTGAAGGTTTTGAGACTGGGCCTACGCTGGAATTCCAACCAAAGTTGGGCAACGTCCTGGTGGTTTTTGTTGAAACTAGCCTTTGGGTCCCAAAAAGGAAACGCAGGGGAAATCCTGTAGATACATACGCAGACCTCCTGTTGTTTCAAATGTTTGGTTTCGGTTGGTTTCCCTTCGGAATGGGCTTCGAAATGGAACCAACCAACTGGGGTGCCTAATTTTTGCGCACGCATAGCTGTCACCTTTCTCACAGGCGACGTAAGAGACGCCTCGGCGACATTAAAGATCGGCATTGCATTTCTCGACTTGTCCATGGTTTTGCACCCATGAGTTCGTCAACAACGTATCTGCTTAAATTACAAGCTTGAAGCATGTTCTTGCCAGGGGCCTGGCCGATGAGCTAGGTCTAGCTAGAACCCTCTTATCTTCAGCCGCTTTGCGTCATTCCTGTAGGCTTTCATCCCAAGGTGTAGTACAGAAGCCTTTGAATGATTATGGCGAGCTCACTGAACGGGGGCAAGATGAGCTCCCGCAATGATAAAGATACATCAATCAATTATTGATCGCAGCCTGCATTTGAAGAAGTAGTATTCGTGAGGAAGTATCGGTTTCAACATGTTGCTTTTGCTAGGCTGCGAAAGGGTTCGCCAAAGGGGTGTCTCATGTAATAACGTCCTCGCAAAAGGGTCGCAAATGCCTACGAATTGAATTTGTCCAGGTGCCCGAAAGCGATCACGAACTTCACACCCATTTCTCTATCCGTGAAAGGGGTTCGAAAGCGACTGACTCAGAATAACGTCTGGCGAAAGGAAACCCCTGCCGCAGCAGCTCCGCAAAAGCCCTCGAAAGGGATTTGATGTGTCTCTATTACTCTCTTGGGCAAGTGGGTTTAGAACACCTCTCGGCTGGGGGCTTTGTTTTTGGTCTGTTTCATGATCTTGCGGAGGAGAGGGATGGTCGCGGCTTCTTGTTCTTATGTCGCGCCCAGGAACTGAAACACCCGACACCCCTCTTTAATACGCCTTTACGTTTTGCAACGCGTCAGGTTCATTTCCATGAAGCGCCTCATGTCGGGGCCCTTCTCCCGCCATCCGGCAACCATTGGCTAATTCCATATCCCCGAAATGATATCTGGGACGGGCGTCTCTAGCCGTACAGAGGAGGTGGTTAAATGTATGTCCTGTGTTCTCTGGCAGGAAGGAAGCTATCTCTTTCCACGTATACTATATTATGCACATTGAATCACCAGGCCAAACAATCACCAAACACCTTGGTAGTACAGTCAGGGGAGGGTTCTAACAGCTGGTAACGTCACTGTCAACAGGTCGCCTGCGCACAGTTTGCAATTTTGCAGAAACAGCTATTCGGCAGAGTCACCGAGAATCGATCCTCTTTCGGTTGGGCGTGGGAGTGGGGTTACCAAGCGGGTCGGCCGAGCGATGGGTGAAAGGGGTGACACGACGGAAGTGGGGCAAAGCCACCGTCAGGTGCAGACCTTCAGGGCAAGGGCTTACCAGCTGGCTAACCGCCTTGTGGATTTGATCCCCAAAGTTTGAGCCCGACTCCTAGGTCCGATGAGGTCCTCTATTCAGCAGAGGATACCACCAGGCGGGCGTGCCGTTGAAGATCTCAGCCGCAACCAAAGCAAACCGGTGCTGGTTTTGAAATGGCTGGTGTACTTTTTAAGAGGGACCCACCGCCACCGCCAACACCAAAACCTCTATCTCAATGTCAGCTAATTTGCTAGAACCGTAGTTACTTGGCTGTATGTGGGCTTAGTAGGGAATATTAATCCCTATCCAGGTGGAGGGGGTGGGGTGGGGGGTTCTTTCTCGGGAGACTTGCACTGGTTTGGTCATGGACGCCAAGAGGACCCTGAAAATACATGTCTCTGAAATCGTCATTCTACATTTGCATGGCGGATTGTTCGGTGTTTGGAAGTTCGGAACAGCACAGCATTCAACTGCTACACCAAACTGGGGATTAGAATTGTATATCATACAGATGGATGATATGTGATGCTATGCAGTTGTCCCCAAATAGGAAAGCTCCAAAACGTGTGGTTTTCTTTGGGCCCCGTCACTCATTCTGAGGCTTATTCATGTGCCCATGGAGTGCTTAGTTTGACATATACCTGGCATGCATTGTATGTAGGTTGATAGCCCCAACTTAAAAGGAGTTTATTGGGGGCCTGTCCAGTTGACTCCTCCTTTCACTGGGCCAACTGTTGATCCAGATGAGAGGCATGCCCTCATCCCAGTGGCTCAGCGCTCTGTTCCTTTTGCCGCTTTTTTTTTTTGCTTTGAAGCGACCAACAAGCAGGCAGTGTGTACAGTTTGATTCCCCCTTTTGGCAAAAAAAAAGACCCCAAAAAGTGACGAACCCTTCTTTGAGGGACCGAGCATGTTCGATGCAGAGATGCCAAGAGGTATCAGCATAGTAAATACCGGATTGCTCCTGGACTCCAAACCATGATGAAACCACCAGGTTGTCAAAGTGGCAAGCGGTTTTCTTAGGCTTTACTTCATCGGCCAAGTTTCGATTATGCCAGGCCACCTTGAAATCTTGAAACACTGTTGAAAGCTTTTGGGAAATAACATGAAACAACTACGTGCTCCTGGGTTGTTTGTGCCATAAGCTCGCTAAGCTCGCTTTGACGGTCGCAACACATGGGGTACATAGGGGTATGAGGGAATCCCAGAGGGCTACTCCTGCAGCACATTGGCAAAGCTCTCAGAAAACCTTAGGCAAAGCTCCGTTTGTAGCGTGATGTCCTGGCATGAGAAATAGCAAGGCCACCCCAAATTTCCATCAATTCCTGTGGGAAGTTTAAGCTCAAACCGTGGGCGTGTGGTGGGCCATGCCGCGGGAGGCTTATCTTATGCTGGTGCGGTCTTTGGATGGTGCTGCCGCTTTCCCAGCATCTTCAGCGCAGGGCTTTCATTTTGACAAAAGTGCAGGGAAACAAGGGATCCTGTTGACAGGGCTTGCATTTTGAATGTCCAAGTCTGTGGATACTCTTCTTGTTGTTGTTGTTTTTTTTTTTTTTAAGGGCAGCAGATTCGCTTTGGTCATTTGGAGACATGGCCTTGTCAACCAGACCAAAAGGATCGCATGACGTCGTTTGACGTTGAATCGCCATGGTTTGTTGTTTATTTTTAGAAGAGAAAAAAAGCACGTCCACAGGCTGGTCCCTTGCTTTTCAGGGGGCAAAAGGCAAAGCGAAACGTAATGCCGATCTCCAGCGAGTGCTAAACACTTGTAAACCAACATCACCAGAACTGCATCCAAAGTGTTGAAGTTCCTAACAAATCCTTTTCCCTTCGGCATTGTGGGCGCCTCCTGTTTGTTTCCGAACGGGGAATAGCATTTGTGTGGACCAATCCATTATGGAAATGCGCGACTGCAAATTGGGGGAGGGGGGCTCCTGCGAATCGTTCTGGGCAAGGGTTTGTTTCCCTTTCCAGTTTTGAGCCCTTATGTGTTTGATAGGGAACGCTGGTGCTTGTGCCGAGGAAGCGCAGTTTGTTCATATTCATAGAGAACTCTTATTTCTGTTGATTGTAAACCCTATCTTCTTTCAATAGAGAGCCCGTATGATTTCCTAAATGTTCGGTTCCCCAGTTGGCCGTGAGGGCCTGCCTTTGACTGGGTTCGCCGAACCCTAAGCCAGGTTTTGGGCCCGATTTGGGTGGTGTTCCCTTTGTTTAAACATGGGACTAGACCGAAGCACTGTGTTTTGGGCATTTCCTGTCGGTGTCATGTGACGGGGTAGAGGACGCAGGATAACTCGCTTTCTGTGGCTTGCGACCTTCCGGTGATGGTGCCCAACAGTCAGCTGCCCACTTCAACCAAAGAAACCTTCATTCGTGGAATCCACGATTTCCTTGGGCTAGTTGTTTCTTTCCCAGAGTGTGGCAATACCGTATTTTTTTGTGAATTTAGCAAGGTGCCTGGCCCGTAGAATTGGCGGCAGGGAAGGCCGCTTGTTCTTTTCAAAGTCCTGCTCTCTGAGGGGCGTCTTACTGTGACTTCTTCACTCCGATATGCTTTTGGCGGGGGTTACGTTTTGACGGTTTTTGGGAAAGCCATGGGATTTGCCAGAAATGGCTCAATAGGCAAGTCCCCAGTTTTGCAGCAGCAAATCAGGGAGCTCACCGATTGGGGGGGGGGATTGGGCAAATGAGCATTTCTGAACCCATTCATTACGTGAGGGTTGCTTCAATTGATTTGTTAGTACTCCCCTACGAGAAACACATCTATCATTTGGGATGGGGATCTCATTCACCTTGATGAAGGTTTCTTTCAGAATGGGTTTTTTTGGGGTCTGGCCCCTTTGCAAAAGTGATGAGCAGATGTGTGTGCCCTGAGGTGTTTTACAAGGGAGACTTCCAGAAATCGGATTGGATGCGTAGATTCCACCGGTGCCTCCCGTTTGGAACTCTTCAGCACCCTTCGAAGCGGATCCGAACCGTCCAAGCTTTGAACTCCCGGAGCCTCCCAAAAGCGAATCGCATACATCCCACAGGGACTCACTTCTGACCCTTGCTGGTTCCCAGTCGTGATTTTTGTTTTTGTTTTATCGGTTTTGGGAATGAAACGAAGGAGGACGCCTCAACAGAAGCCACAAGGGATGCTGGGGATGATCCTCTCATTGCCTGAGCCGCAAGGCCGTTTTTTAGTTTGGGATCATTCCGGCTACCGAAAATCTGAGAACCAGGAAGATACTCCCCTGAACAAGCTCGATCCATTTCTAAAGGAATATCCTGGGGAAATGGACCTTCTTGTATTCCTTGTGAGTTTGCGGAGAAAGTTATATCATTCGCCTTGAATGTGGGAGGGTATAAAAAAAAAAAGGTTCGCTTGGGTCATGCCCCTCGGATCTTTGGGCGTCGGAGCCCTAGGCACTACTTGGCCTGGGCCCTTTGGAAGCGGAAGGCCTGATACCGAGGGTTGCTAAGCGCGCGTTCACCCGTGAAGGCTCCTTTCAAACATAACCTTATTTGTGGTTGGTGCATAGAACTACTAGGACTCGCCCAGAAAAGTCGGAACCTCTCCTCCTCTGAGCGCGGATTTCATTCCAGTTTGCTTAGGGTCACGGAGGTGGATTGTGGAGCCAAGTCAGTGAGTAAAATGCCTGGGGCCCAAAATCACTTAAAACACAGCCACTGAGGGTAATATCAATACCCAGGTTTCCCCTGAGAGGGGCGGCTGTTTGGGGTGGAGAACATCTTAAACCCATACCCCCCCTCCCCCCCGTGTGAGGGTTCCGGTAAGTGACCGCGCCAGGCGCTGATCGTGTGCTCTGCCACGCCAGTGGAGAGGCGCTTGGCGGGCGTTGTTCCAAACGGTGCGACGGAGATTGCCCCACGTGGTTGGTGAAGTCTCGGCGCCACCCTCGCGTCCACTATGTGGAACCTGACTGAGCAGAAGGCGATGTTCCTTTAAAAACAACCCTCTTGCTGGTTTCATGTGGACAGTAAATAGCCCGTGTTTAATTTACCCAAAGGGAAACGAAAAGAGGAATGTGTTTTTCAAGTGTTCCGGACCCCTCTGGTATCCAGAGCTTGGCAGACCACCAGACCGCCCGCAATGGCTGTCAAAAGGCCCCCAAACTAGCAATTGGGGTCCTGGTTGGCCACCGTTTGGTTTCTTTCCATTTTGTGGAACTATAGTCATTGGCCAGCTATGTCCATTGGCTAAGCTATAGTGGCAACCACTACTTATTCACCACTACTGTACCAAGTCAATGAAAGTTGTTTTGGCGATTCCTTTGGCAACCAAAGCGAATCGACCCGATATGACCTTTTGGAATCCATGTTGACAACATTTTTAGGACCCCCCCCCTCTAATGGAATGATCAATTTTGATTCATTTTACGGAAATCGCTTCCAGACCATTGATTGAGGTTCAGTTTTTTCGCCTATGACAGTCTAATGTGCCCCAGAGTTTATCGACCACGTCATTTTATCCTGTAAGAGTGGTTTGCTGACCCGCAAGCCTGCAAGACAAGACCAATATCAATGTCCTGACCGAGCTGCACCACGGATTATGACATGGAATCCGGAGACCCTCAGTTCCATTTGAATTCTTCTTGAGGGCTCCCCGTTTTTGGGCCTCCAAGAAAGTCGCCTGTTCCGGCGAGGTATCGGCGGAGGCTGTGCCGGTCACAGGCTCGGACCTCGAGCGATGTCGAGTGACAAGCCATGGCTTAGGAGCCTGGCTGTGTGGGTGGTTCTTTTTGAGGGATCCTTGGGATTAACTGAAAGCACCACCCCCTATTCAAAGGCACCCCCCCATTTTAAGTGTAAACTCAACATTAATTGAAAGGACCGAATTACTATTTTTTGGGGGGACCAAATCCAAATCTATTTCGAGACAGACCGGTGCAACATCGGGTAGGTTGCTGCTGCACTGTATATTTTGCGAGACCTTTTAGAAACACACCCGTCTATCAGGTTATCCTCAATGGGCGATTTGGAGTTTTGGTTTGGAGCTGTGAGCCCCTGATTCTTGAGGGTAGACGAGAACCCAGCTTTCTTGCAAGCCACGAGTCCAAACCACCGATGAGTCTTCTGGTTAATTTGGGAAGGACACGGCAGCTCACCAATTTTCTGAAACAAAATCTAAGCAAAATTTGTCCCATTTGGGAATCAAGAGTTTTGACCATGGCTCAAATTGGAAATGCAATTTGTTTGGCGGTTGCTTTTTGAAAACGTTTGTCTCAAAGGGTGTGATTACAGGAAAAACTGCAGGACATGGCGTCAAAACACCCTAAATAAGCTGTGTTCCTGTATAATTTCTTGTAACCGTCCATTTGGTTAATAATATGTGTTTTATTTCCCCCTCTGTGTTTTAAAGGGAATCTATCACTACTGGACATTTTCGTTTTTTTTCCAGGGGACTTAAGCACCCTAAATAAGCTGTTTGGGTCAGGAACAACTATAGGACATGGCTTGGAAACACCCTAAACCATTTGTTTTCCTGTATATATAATTTCTTGTAGAATTTCCCTTGGTGGCTCCCAGCCATCCCCTTAGCTTTTTGGCCTTTTAGTGTTTAGTGCTGGTTTCCATTTAATCACTAAAAGTTAGTCACTTTTAGCAGGGGGATCTGAGGGCAGCCCAAGCCTTTGGTCAGATCTACTGCGGCCTGGCGGTGGCTGGGGGCCTGCGGCTGTTGCTCGGCTGCCGCTGGCCGGGGCCTCGAGGGATCGACGAGCCCGGCCGTCAGAGGGTCGTTTTGCTGAAGGGGGGGGATGGGTTTCTCTTACAACAGGGGACCAGCCAAGAAAAGATTGGGGTGGTTCCCAGCCATCCCTTTGGGTTTTGAGTTTTTGTCTTTTCCTTTTTTTTTTCTTTTTTTTGGGGGGGGGGGGTATTTTCCTCTTGTTGTTGTTTTTGTTTTTTCCTTCTTTTTTTTTTTTTTTTTCGGGGGGGTTTAGTGGGTGGTTTTCATTTAGCCCACAAGTTAAGCTTTTCGCAGGGGACCTGAGGACTGCCCAAAAATCATTGTTCTCCTTTCGGTTCCCTTTAAAACCAGCCTCGAGGGCCCCTAAAACAACGACACGTTCAAGATGGGAACCCCGAATGGGGGGTTGTCGGGCCCACTAGTGATCCGGATTCGCTCCCCCCTACTCATCACCCAGGGGGTTATAAATCCGAGGTCAACATTACGGTGGATGCGCTAAATATTGCAAGTGACCCAAGCACGTCCAACCACACCGTTTTTCTCAATGGAGGGGAACCCCCAAAATGGGTGGTGTCCTTTTGGCTTTGTTTGAAAAATCTTCCGAAAGGGTACCCTCAACAAAAAGACACACTGCATATGTTTTTTCCCCTTCGCAACAGCACCTGCTTTTGTTAGATGACGGCAGGTTGTTGTTCTTTTTCGGCTAGTAAGGCTAACAGTTGCATACAAAAAGGGGCGAATCTTTTCCGCCGTGGTAGTTGCTACAAATTGAGTCGCTGTGTGTTACGTTTTCCGCTGTTTAGTCTTAAGGAATGGCAAGTGTGCGTAGTCAGAAGAGTATGTCTTTCCACAGTTCTCAGGAACCGAAGGTGCAATTTTTCTTTGCATGTTGCCAGAACCTGTTCAGCAGCATGTACCCACGGAGCTGAGGTCTGCCGCTGACTTGTTGTACAGCTTCTCCGCGGAGCACCAGGTGCTCTTCAGCATGGCCCGGAGCCGAGTTTGAAGATGCCAGCCGTTTGGCTTGAAGAAAACAAAACCTCCAGGGCCCCGCAGTGGCTGTCAAATGGGTATGGGTCAAAATAAACCCACCAGGGGACCGCAGGTTTTAGTCTTTGGTTCCACTTATCAGGGTTCCATTTTGGGTACGCATGTTTGACCCACAGCCAAATGGCCCCCAACATAGCCGCTACTGTAGAGAACTTAACCATTTGATACCCACTGCGGGGTCCGGACAGCGGTGTCCGTGTTTTTGAGCATACGATTTCTGTCCAGACGTTTAGGCAATATGTGTTCTACACTTTTCACAGGGGAGTCGGAGCAACACTGTGTCCGAAGGAGGGGGGTTGTTTGAGCACCTGTTGAAATTATGTTCTTAGAGATTTGCACTGAAAGAACGGAATGGTTGACGTTCGATGTTAGTTTGTGCGCCTTTATTTCAGGGAATGAAGCCAATGAAGCAGATATCAGTTGAACTTATGGCCACTGTGACTTACTGCTTGCTGGGCCGAACATGCATTAGGCTGAACGGGACATGGTAAAATGACGCCATTCCTGCCAGAATAGTACAGGGCAAACACATCCGTTGACATTCCTTTCCCCGACGACGCATTCTACACACACATATTCCATCTATCAAATATTCCATCCACACAAATAGTCCATCCATTGCATTCTATTGACATTCCTTTGACCTTGCAGCAGCCAGCAGCAGCCAGCAATGTCAGATTGGGCCTTAGTTCTGAGGCAGTGGCCCATTGGCTGGTCTCTGTGTGGGAGGATAGCATGAACTGGCGCCGCCGGCCAAACTTGGCGCCGACTCGGTTAGACTCTCGGCCGCAGAGTCTGAACATCCAGCTCTGACTGTCATGTGTGAGGACATAAGCTGGGCTTGGGTGATCGAAATCAAGCGTTTTGCTTTTGGACAATGACAGATTTCCCCCGGGCATACAATGAACAACATAGATGAAGACAAGTCACTTTTCTTGGTGGGTGGGGGGGGCATGATGGAACCCAACAAGGGCAGCAATTGTGCCATCTACTGTCACCCAACTCTGGTCCGCTGGACCATTCCAGCAACTATAACTAAACTATAACACACCCACGTCTACCCATGAATGCCGGGACGATAAAGAGGGGAGGGGGATTTATTGCAAGCTCAACCAAAACGAGCTCGCCCATGTCACACTTCTCCCCAACAGTCAACTTTTACAAAAGTGAGGGGCGGGGAAGCTACCGAGGGCACCATTCTAAGATTCTGCAGATTTTACCATCAAGCGGAGTGTTACCATCTACTTGGGTCTGTCTTTTGTTTGGGAGTACCCCTTGTTGGCAGGTCTAAAGGGAAACCACAACGCAACCGAAGTCATCTTGGTGAGTTGTCGTCAAACAACACCAGTGACACCCTTTTTTCCTTAATTTTGGGAAGTGCTTCCCTTTAAAGTCGCCCAACCGAAACAGGATGCCCTCTTTTTCCCATGGCCACTCGGCATCTGAGGAAAAAAACACACCCATTTTGTTCCAAAGGGAAGCCTCCGATGTGTTCCGGCCGGCTTCGATCGGCCAGGACCTTCCTGCGTGGAGGGCTGAGCGCCAGAGACACGCAGAGCCGCGCTCTCATCGCCGAACGCGGAGTTCAAGTTCGGTGGGTCCAACAAATTAGGGTGTCAAAATCGCGGGGGCTAGTCTTAGACGAGTTTGGCATCACAATCGTTAGGGGCTAAGAAAATTGACAGACTGTATTGTTCCATAGTCATGGCGAGTTTGGTTTACTAGTACAACCCGCAGGGGTTTCATTGATTAGCATCCACCCAATAGTGTTGTGTTGTTTGAAATGGCGCCCTATAGGTGTTGGTGCAAAGGGGGACCTTGCCGCGTCATGGGGGGTTGACCCCTTCCTGAATTCAGCCATGGAAACTGCGGTACCTTCTTGCGAGGGAAGCCCAAGGCAAACAACCCACTTTATGGGTCCAGTTTAAAGTATGGCTTGTGTCAAAATAGGGAACACACTTTTGGATGATGTTAATGGAGCGACATGTTCAGGGATTGGCATGGATGTTCAAACAAAAATCAGACTAAGTCAGGTCACTCACTTGCAACCAAAGCGATTCCTTGTTGACTCGAAATCGCCAGACTTGGCTTACTTGTTCTAATTATTTTGCCTTTCGACTTTCCTTCAATCTCCTTTTTCAAAAAGCAAGCACATTTGTGGAACACTTTTGCAAACACAGCCGCGACTTGGGTGTTTTTGAAGAGAACGGGTAATCAACCCTTAGCCTTATTGCGGGTCATTGCACATGAGATGCCAGAAAAAGATAGACGCTTTTACCTTCTCAGACCCCCTTTCAAAGTCTCCAGACCACAGCAAGGATCTAGTTGGCATGTCCTTAAGTGGTACAGGTGTTTCTGAGCAAGGAGTACATACAACAATGATTTTTGACTGCCGGGCTTACTTCGATTTTGAGTGATATGTGGTGTGTCGGCTAGAGGGAAGTGCTGGGCGCGAAAGAATGTGATCGCAGCTTTCTTGGTTCTTCAGGCACTTCTCTCTGTTTGGCAACGCCGACACAATTTGAATATTGCCAAAGGGACGCAAGACCCGAGACTGGTTCATGTATTCCCATCAAGAGACCGTTCTGTTGCATCCTGGGAGCTGCCAAGAAATGGAACCCTATCCTTGGGACATACTTGCACGAACAGCCATGAAAGCGTGTTTGGAGCACCAGATTCTTCCTGAGGCAACCCGAGGGGCGGGGGGGATGGGGGGGGATGGGAACGTATATCTTCATGATTTGTTCATCCCCTAGGCACTCTTTTTGTGAGCAGCCGTGAGAATCGCCGGCCGCGCAACTGAGATGGAGCCGATCCCAGCCGATTTCTGTGGCAAGCCTACCTTGTGCGCGGATGCCTAGTTGGAACTGTCAAAGAAACAAAGATGCATGGACTGGTTGGCGCTCATTCGCCGGTGAAGCTTCGCTGGTAGTGGTAACTTTAGATCTTTGCGTGTGTGCAAACAGGTGCAGTTGAGCATTTATTGTGGAAGCATCCCTAGGAACCTGCATCCCCGCTCTTACGTCATCTTTCTGCCCCATTCTGAGGGACGCCGGTCTGCTCTCTGATTTTCTGGGAGCGTTACGCCCTGCGTGGAAACAAAAGGGGGTTCAAGTTGTTGCTGACATACAGGTTGAGTTTAGTCTGCCTTTGCAACTCAACATCTCAATTCTCAAGTGGGACTCAAAATAGCTTTAGGACGTCACGTCCATACTGGCAAAAAGACAACCAATCCACTTGGTGATTAGCTTGAGATATCCCTCAGGGAGAAAGCTACAGTGACTTTGGCAGAGTTTCCGGCAATGCGGTGGAATCAGCGAGCCAGGCGTCATGAAGCAAGCTTTTGACTTTACACCCAACAATCCCATGATACACAAAATATGGGTGTGTTGAGAAACAAACAGCCATAATCTCTTCTCAGGTGCTTGTTGTGTTTCGTTCGGCCCATGTATGTGTGCATATGTTTCCAGACGAACAATTTGTTTTCGTAACCCCTAATTGTTGGATTGGTGGCTTGGGGATTTGAACCCCTCGTCCTCGGAGGTAAAGAACCATCTCTAACCTGCACCACTCTAAACCAGCAATGGGAACACCATTTTTAACACTTCCTGAGCTTTTGGACTTTCAAACGTTTTTGAAACGAGTGCAAGAATGGTAAACAAAGGTTTGGTTGCCTTTTTGACTCCTCCGTTCAGGAGGTCTGGTTTTGAGGCGCACATTTTTCAAAAAGCGGGTCCCACCGGCGCGTTGAGGCACCACCTCGTGGCGGCTGTCGCCTTCGGCGCTGCCCTGCGCCTGCAGGCCGGAGGGTGGCGGGAAATTCCGATTCGAGGGGCTCTTTGTTTGTTTTGGTTCATTTGTTCTACCCTCCCACCAACTAGTTAACACGAAACCTGGGGTCTAGCCTTTGTGTTTTCTAGCTTAAGTGGGTTCTTTTTTTCACTTCAAGCACACACAGAGACAGAGGCGCGAATGGGAGCCTTGCACAGTGGGCAACTGTTCTTTTTCCCGCAGCCAAAAGAAGGAGCATGGAAGTTTAGCCTTTATTGTTCCCGTAGGCAAAAGAAGACTTGGTAGACCTATATAGAAAGCATTCCAGGATAATGCTGCTACATATATGCACGCATCTCTCCCAACGAATGCAGCGCATGGCCTGTTTGGAAATTTGTCGAAGCCACAAGGCTGATATTTGCTTGACACCCGAGCGTGAGGAAATGTACTTGAGACGCATGGCTAGGGACAACCAGAAAGGGTCCCACATTCACAATCTGGTTTTACGCCCGCCTGTCAATCGGCACTGACTCATCCAGGCCAACATGTCAATCCGGAAAGAGTTGGAAAGAATGTGGCCCCCCCTCCAACTAACACAGCACCAGACATGGGGTCCCTTGAAGAGGAAACCAATCTTCCAGGTACCCTCCCAGAGGTGCCATGTTAGCGGAAGGGAGGGTACCCCTCTGGAATTCCCCACCCGCAACCCGCGGCGGCACCTTTCCAGAGCTTTGGCCCAGAGCCACTCCGAACCACTCCCGTTCGCCTATCTGGCCTATGACCCCAAAGCGTTCAGCTGTTTGGGACAACCTCCAGGTTTCAAACAGAGGTCCCTATATTTCCCTTTGCAGCCTGTGTTTAAACATCACCTTCAACATCACCCTGTCCGTAGATGAGTTTCCTTTGGTGATGTCTAAAACGGGGATAGGGAAGCCTTTCAAAGGAAGCTGAAAACGATTGCGGAAAGGCTGGGGCCATTCGATGTGCTAGGTGTGCACGGGCCTGGCTGCTTTTGGCCTGGCGCGGGCCTCGAACCTCCTGGTTGCTTGGTTGCTTGGTTGGCTGCTTGGTTGGCTGCTTGGTTGGTTTGGTTGGTTTGGGTGGTTTGGTTGGTTTGGGCGGTTTGGTTGCTTGATTTATATTTGTTTGTGGTGATTCCTTTGGTGGTTGTGGTGATATGAGGATTGCAGCTGCAAGGGTAGCTTGTGGCCAGTTCAAATCTGATCGGCGGCCCACTTAGATGGCCTGGACCAGTTAAATGGTCAGCCCGTAGGGCTCACGGGCGGTGACCACGAACTACAAAGAGCCAAACAATTTTACGCATGATTCTTACACAATCATGACTAAACTTTTGTGTGCCTATTGAAGGGTATATACTGACAAGCAAGCCAACTCCTGCTAAGGTCTTTGAGATGCCGGTGCTTTACATGAACCTCCGCGAGTTCATTGCGCAGCCCTCGAATCAGGTTTTTGGGTGTTTGGGGAACTGGAAGGCCTAGTTACCCATCAGGTGGGTGAACGCACAACAGGGATCCTTGCATGCTGAACGCTGTTGTATGGTTATTTTTTCATATCCTGAGGAACATCCGGTGCTTTTCTCGCGGAGCCGTTATGTTGAGTTATTTCATTTTGACCGTGGATCTGGGCGCGACTCAACGTGCTCGTCTAGATTTCGACCAAACATAGAGTTCGGGAAATGGAGCAGCTGGTCCAGTCGTCTAATGGATAAGGCGTCATTGTTGCGAGTGGAGCTGTCGCTTGAACCAAATGTCAATGGTGGTTCAACCTCTTTGAGACTAATTACTATCCTTTTGGAAGACGGGTCTATGCGCCAAGCGATATATATATATATATATATATACATATTAGTGTGAAATCAACACAAACAGCAAGGGGGATCTTATATATATATATATATGTATATATATACACACATAGATTTCACATCTTTTCTTAGCGGGAGCAGTCGGTATGGATCCGATAGAAGCTGGAAGCTGGAAGCTGCGGCAAAGGCTTGCTGAGATTAGCCATGAAAACCGATTCGGGTAAACAGGTTAAGGGACGGGCTTGGTCATAAACAGGTGCGGCAAGGGGTTGCAAGGCACTTGGATTTCTTCGACACTTGGCAGAAGCCATGGACAACTTGGTTGCTTGACAAAGTGAACTGTTGCTGCAGAAAATTCACAGCCTGCCATGGCGAAGCAAGCTTTGAACTCAAGCCTTTCTGCGGCCAAGCGACAGATGAAGCGACAGATGAAGCGCTCCAGGCCCAGTGCCCGGCCCTCCATCAATGAACGCTGGTTGGTGGGAGGGTGCCCAAAACAGCACCTTACGTTTATGCCTATTCGACGTTGGTTGGTGGGCTCACTTTAAGTTGGTTGGAGCTGTAAGTTTTCGGACAAGATCATTTTAGTGGTAACCAAAAAGTCAGAACTTTTTCGGACCAATCCACTCAGGAAGTGGCTGTGGTTAGCGGGGCAACCATACGATGGAGACGCCGAGGTGTATGCCGACACACCTGTGGAGTGGTTCCGAGATCTTAGGCGACGTGATTTCTCGGCGAATCGGGCGGGCTGAGGGGAGGGGGTCTTCTGGGGGATTTGTCTGGTCGTCCGTGAAGCTGTGGACTCAGGTGGCTTGTCTTCCGTTGAGAGTCTTGTCCAAAGCCTTGGTGCAGTTCAGGAGTGGATTGGACATGGTGGACATGTGGAACCAATGGAAGCATGGTGGTTCCTCAGGGCTTCTAATTAAATGGATGTAAAGTTTCATTGAACATATTTAAGGTCATGGACCTCCATGAAGGTCTCCTTACTGATTTCGAGACCTGTCTTAGTTCCATGGTGCCATCTCGGCTTCTTGATTTTGACTTTTCCCTTACCAAGTCATAGCTTCGGCTCCTGAAATCCGGCCGAACCAAAACGCCCCGGGCCGAAGTGTGGGCCTCCGCCAGGCGAGTGGAGCTCTTTTGGGGCACGCTGCTCCTTTGGTTCCGCCTGGCCCGCGGAGTGCCGCTCGGATGGAGACAGCTCGAGGCGGAAGGGAGTTGCTCCTGGTTCGTTGTCCGGTGTTTGGGAAGGAACATGGGGTCGAGTGTTGCCCAGGTGAGAAAGCCCAAAAGGGGGGGTGTCTCTTGTTGGAGGGTGGTTGCTTTTTTGGGCTGGCACGGTTTTCTAAATGCTTTTGGGGTCCTCATTGAAGGAGGGATCTGCGTTAAATGGGTCACGACCCTCCAGGTGGTCTCTTTTTCAGGCTCGGTTTGCGGACCAACCGAGCGCTTCCGAACGTCGTTTCAGGACGGTCCTTCAAAACACCTCATTTCAAGTTGTTCAAGTATAGCACAGTTCTTGCAGGCTCCAAAGAACGGTTGGTTGGCCAGTCGAAATAGCTCTTCGCTGAGGCCCACTTTGGTGTACTTCTATTCCTTGATCTTCTGGTATGAGGACATTGGAAAGCTTTCCACCAAGGACTGCACCAGCTTCGACGCTGGACCCGCAGTTTTCCGTTTACCAGGTTCCTGAAAGGATACGTTTTGGCAAAGTCAAAAACCACCTTTACAAGCTGTTGCAAGAGTTGAGTCACATGTACCAGATGATTATTAGGTGTATCCTTTCAGGGACCCTGTTTACACCCCGCCTTTTTGACCAGAGACAAAAAGCGCACCACAAGGGCAGTCCCGCGCCTGTACGCAATTCGAGGAGGCGTGGATGTACCATGGCATGGCCATTTTCTTCACCGCTGCGCCCTTGGAGGGAATCAGAACCCTTGGGAACAACGATTTGGGTAACGGGTATGAGACAGAGTAGGTATCGTATGAGAAACATTAAGGGTAAGGGTTCCTTTGGGATGGGTGCTTGATGGAGGAAAAACTGTTTTGAGGGTTAAAGACACAATTTGAGCGCTCGGACCTTTTGAAGTTGTACTGTTGGGGGGGTTAGCTAAGTTGCTAGCCATGGTTCGAATGGTTTGCCTGCAGGTCTTAGGGTATCGCTTAAAGGATGTGTTGTACCGACTGCGGAAGCTCCATGTGTTCTTTGGTAGTTTTTGCAAACATTGCTGTCGAAGTGTCTGCCCTCAAACTGCTTTTTTGGGAATACCGCTTTAGCGGCCGGAAGCGAGCCTCAGGGGAAACCATTCAGGAAGCGAGCCTCAGGGGATGCACAACTCCAGCGATGGGAACAAGGCGGATTCGGCTCTGAGTTGCCCAGTACCTTTTAAACTGTTGAATCATCAACCAGGGAGGTGGCACCCAAATGTTGCTGGGAAACTGGGCCCCGTTGTTTGGCTGCAGGTTTGGTCAAAAGTACTGGCAGCTGGCTCAATATGGGGGACTTGGGGGGGGGAACTCACTAAATTTCACCGTGTCCTCTTGGGGGAGCCTGCATATTTTCGACCTGCGTAACTTTTTTACGGTACACCAATTTACCCGGGTATATGCCAACAGGCCCAGAGTCTGTTTTGCGGAGTGATAGGTATTTGGCCCAGTCAGGAAGTGGTTATCAACCTTGGTGTTGATCCAGTGAACAAGATCAATTTCGCTTGAGGGATGTAGAAGTGGGTTATATGTAGAACCGTTTGTACTCGGGGAGGTGTTGTATATATACAGACTACGTACGATGCTATCATGTATATATATATATATATATATTAGCGGGACAACAAAGGGTACCTACCCAGCAAACACCACATGTCGCCCTTGCCGAGATCCTGAATTGGAATCTGGCCGGCACCTTCCTCCAAGCCTGGAAAAAGAAGGACGGGTAAAGTTGGGCAGGGCTCAACCTCGCCCAGTCCCAGTTACCCAAACAGACCCTCCTTCCAAGATTCCAGCAACCCCGGAAGTTGACAGAGGGCTTCCCTTGAAAGCAATTTAGTCGTGCAATACCGTCCTGTCAGTTTCCATGATTGTTCGAGGGAGGGTAACCAGCCATTGTCCAATTTGGTTTTCAAAGGGTAGTTCCATTGGTTTCCTGCTACGCAGGGAAATGGAATCAGTTCCGCAAGCACGGCCTGTTAAAGGGTACCGAGACCCACCCTTAAAGCCGTCAGGCGTCTTAGTGGTACAATGGCTGGGACTTGAGCCCTGCTGCCGTTCCTTTTTGGAGGGAGGTCCCTTCGACCACCCGCGGATGTCCTTTTTTCTCCGGGCCACGGAACTCTCAGACTCTGCACCCTTGGGAAATGGCCATAGGTGTGTCCAACTCGATACCACCCTCTCACGTTGTAATATGAAACTCACCAGAAGGTCCCTTAAGGAAACCGTTCGTCCAGGAACTAATGTTGTCCCTGCCATGTTGAAGAAGGAGCGCTCAAAATTGCGCGCATGTCCACATATGTTCTAAGACATTTCTTCTAAACGTATATTCTGCCCGTTAAGTGACAGGGGTGAAGTCGGCGTGCAACGCCGCTCTCAGCCGAAGGACTTGGAAGTGGCCGAGAGCGAGAAGCTGAGGGGGGGGGGGGGTCGGACTAGGGTCAACATTCAACCCAAATGGAGCTCCCTTGTTGGACCATGTTCCTTTGTTTTTAACCTGACCCCTGTCAAGTTCTATGTTAGCGGCTGGACGGTTGACATCCAAAGCATTTGTGTAGTTGTTTGGGGTTGAACGTGACCAAACTATCCAAACTATACGAAGCTTGCTACGCCTGCTATATACCGACGCGCGTCTTAGACTACTCATTTGGGGAAGCGCACAGAGGGATCATTCACTGTACTTCCACGCGTTTGGGCGAATGTAAGTGTGTGGGCGTTTGGTTTACCTTTTTGAATAACCATCTTCATTGTGGCTCATACTTTGTGCATGCGTAGATGCGGTGGACTGCATTCAGTCAGAAGTCAGAAGGAGGCAGCCCGGAGTGGGAAGACAAGACCATTCAACCATGTAGCCAATAATTAGCAGCCGTAGCTCATATATTTGATACACACATGTGTATATATATATATATAAATATGCATCTTCATATGCACTGCACGAAGAGAGAGAGAGAGAGAGAGAGAGAGAGAGAGAGAGAGAGAGAGATAGAGAGAGAGAGAGAGTGGGAGAGTGGGAGAGTGGGAGAGTGGGACGGTGGGACGGTGGGACGGTGGGACGGTGGGACGGTGGGTGGGAGGGAGGGTGGGAGGGAGGGAGGGAGGGAGGGAGGGAGGGAGAGCAAGACAAAATCGGACCTGGCGGCTTCCTTTCGCTGACCCTTTCACCTCCGCCTTGAGGCGCCAAGGCCGTGGACTATGAGGAGAAGTTCCGTCAGCTGCTGAATCCCGAGGACGAGGTCGCTGAACCGGCGGTGGTTCGACTGCAGTGTTGTTAAAAACGGGGTTCGCGGTGCCAACTGAGGACGAATCCTGCGGCTGATATCCTGCGAAAGGGTTTGAGACAGAGTTTTGTGGATTGGCAGGTTCCACTTGGGCAGCATTAGGCTGAGCTTCTGGACTGTTTGCACTTTTGGGGAAGATCACTTTAGTGGTAAGCAAAATGGGCAAACAAAATAGCTTCTTGTTTAGCTAAAGACTTCCTGTTTAGCTAAAAGAGGCTCTGGTTGAATTTTGAGCGTTTGCGCTTTCAGTGTTCTTGTGTGTATGTGTGTGTGTATTAAATTGTCGTCACATTTAACAAGCACCACTTCAGGAACGGCCCATCTTCATTCCTCAGGGCAAGAAAAGCCACAAAGGCAAATAGTTCCTGGCTCTTCGTTGTGTTGGTTGATGAGCTCTTGCTGTGGGTATCCAGTTGTTTTCTGTGAGTTTAATCCCAGGGTGCGTGCAAACCCGTTGGTGTTCTCTTGAAACAAACTTTGGGTTCAACAAAGAAACACAAGGTGTGATGCCTTTCACCCCGAATAAACCGAGTTTCTTTTGTTTGGCGGTGACTTCCGGGACTTGACAACGGCCGTCGATGTTTCGCGCAGGCGAGGTTTGCAGAAAAGGTGAGGAAGGACTGGCGATCCGATCCCCGTGGACGTTTGGCCTAGCTGCTAGCGAGCTTTCCTATCTGAAACCAAAGGGCACCATGTAGGTCCTCTACCTGGGGATCCTTTCAGGTTCTGAGAGCAAATTCAGCCCCAAATTCCCCAAGATCAGAGCCTCCTCCTTTTGAGGCTTCAAAGCTGGGCTCGAACAACCGGAGGCAACCAGAAGGTGTTATCTCCAGATGTTGCATGGTTTATCCTTACTTTGGCAATCACATGTGGGCAGCGCCCAAAACCGATTCCTCTCGGCCAGTTTAGTAGGGCGTTCCACTACCTGATTTTATTTACACGCTGACGCGACACAGCCGGCCACCGGGCACCTTGCCCTGCCCGTTCTGTCACTTCCCTTTCTGTAAGTCCGATTAGTAGATGTTAAGATTTTAAAATTCTAAAAACTTTGACATTCTAAGGGTCTCAGATTTGAAGACTTTCGGAATTTAAGGTTTCAATGGTTTAAGAATTAAGGTTTTAAGATTCAAAGATTTAAGGTTTTTGAAGGTTATAACAGCCAGGCCATTGCCCAGCCATTTTCCATCCAGTATCAGATTTCGAAGGCTTTAAGATTTCATTTTTGTGAGATTTTCAGATTTGGCGACTTTCGTAATTGAAGATTTTAAGATCTTAAGATGTCAAGACTTCAAAATTTCAAGATTAAGAGTTTAATGAATTTAATATATAGCCCGGATTGAAGGAATTTTATTATATTTTACTTGTTTATGAATTTAAGATTTTCAGATTGCAATAGTTCGATATTGAAATAATTTAAGTTTTTGAAACTTTTAAGATTCTGAGATTTTAAGATTTTGAGAATTTAGGAATTTCATACTTTAAGATTTGAACATCTGAAGATTCAAAGACATGAGGGTTTTAAGAAGTCAAGATTCGACGACTTTAGGATGTTTATATTTTCAGGTTGTAAGATTCTAACTTCTAAGGTTGTAATCTTAAGATCTTAAGGTTTCAAGATTTCAAAAATTCAAGATTAAGAGTTTAAGGAATTTAAAATATAGCCCGGATTGAAGGAAGGTAATATTTTAATAATTTAAGATTTTCAGATTTCAATTGTTCGAGGTTTAAATAATTTAAGTTTTAAAGCTTTTTAAGATTCCGAGATTTTAAGAGTGTAAGACTTTAGGAATTTCATATTTTAAGAGTTTAAGATCTCAAGATTCTAAGACATAAGGTTTTTAAGATTTCAAGATTCGAAGACTTTAGGATGTTTTTATATTTTCAGATTTTAAGATTCTAAGTTCTAAGATTTTAAGATCTTGAGATTCTAAGATTGATTGTTAGATTTTAATTTAAGATTTTAAGAATCTAAGACTTTAGGATTTTGAGATTTCAATCCAGGCCATGTTTCATCCACTTTAAGATTTTAAGGGGGCAACATCCCCAGCATCACCCGCATCGCCAGCATGCATAACATCATCTGCATCATCCGGGATGATGCTGGCAATGCTGGGGGTGTTGTCCAGTATTAGGCACCCCCTAAAAATACTCGTTTTTGGGCGCTGCGGGGAGATGCTACAAAAATCGCCTAAACCAATCCGCGAATCCTTCGCCCCTCATAAGGAAGGCCCAGCCTAAAACGTATGTACATGGTCCGCTCATGGTCGGCGGCATGGGGCGCGCGGCCTTATACCTGAAGGTAAGCCCTAACGGGCTTTGGCCTGCGGCCCGATCACGTCCGGTGGCCGGATTTACACGCTGACGCGACACAGCCGGCCACCGGGCACCTTGCCCTGCTCGTTCTGTCACTTCCCTTTCCTGTAAGTCCGATTAGTAGATGTTAAGATTTTCAGATTCTAAAAACTTTGAGATTCTAAGGGTCTCAGATTTGAAGACTGTCGGAATTTAAGGTTTCAATGGTTTAAGAATTAAGGTTTTAAGAGTCAAAGATTTAAAGTTTTTGAAGGTTATAACAGCCAGGCCATTGCCCAGCCATTTTCCATCTATTATCAGATTTCGAAGGCTTTAAGATTTTATTTTTCGGAGATTTTCAGATTTGGCGACTTTCGGAATTTAAGATTTTAAGATCTCAAGATTTCAAGGCTTCAAAGTTTCAAGATTAAGAGTTTAAGGAATTTAAAATATAGCCCGGATTGAAGGAATTTTATTATATTTTACTTGTTTATGAAGTTAAGATTTTCAGATTGCAATAGTTCGAGATTTAAAGAATTTCAGTTTTGAAAGCTTTTCAGATTCTGAGATTTTAAGACTTTGAGAATTTAGGAAGTTCATATTTTTAGATTTTAACATCTGAAGATTCAAAGATATTCGGGTTTTAAGAAGTCAAGATTCGAAGACTTTAGGATGTTTATATTTTCAGATTGTAAGATTCGATCTTCTAAGGTTGTAAGTTTAAGATCTTGAGGTTTCAAGATTTCCAAATTTCAAGAGTAAGAGTTTAAGACTGTAGGAATTTCATATTTTAAGAGTTTAAGATCGCAAGATTCTAAGACATAAGGGTTTTAAGATTTCAAGATTCGAAGACTTTAGGATGTTTTTATATTTTCAGATTTTAAGATTCTAAGTTCGAAGATTTTAAGATCTCGAGATTCTAAGATTGATTGTTAGATTTTAATTTAAGATTTTAAGAATCTAAGACTTTAGGATTTTGAGATTTCAATCCAGGCAATTTTCCATCCATTTTCCATCCACTTTAAGATTTTAAGATTTTCAGGTTGCACGTTTTCGGCAAAGTTGGCCCGACTTAGGGGACAACATCCCCAGCATCCCCCGAGACTTTAGGATGCTTTTATATTTTCAGATTTTAAGATTCTAAGTTCGAAGATTTTAAGATCTCGAGATTCTAAGATTGATTGTTAGATTTTAGTTTAAGATTTTAAGAATCTAAGACTTTAGGATTTTGAGATTTCAATCCAGGCCATTTTCCATCCATTTTCCATCCACTTTAAGATTTTAAGATTTTCAGGTTGCACGTTTTCGGCAAAGTTGGCCCGACTTAGGGGACAACATCCCCAGCATCCCCCGAGACTTTAGGATGTTTTTATATTTTCAGATTTTAAGCTTTAGGATTTTGAGATTTCAATCCAGGCCATTTTCCATCCATTTTCCATCCACTTTAAGATTTTAAGATTTTCAGGTTGCACGTTTTCGGCAAAGTTGGCCCGACTTCGGGGACAACATCCCCAGCATCCCCCGCATCACCGGCATCATCCGCATCAATGTCCGCCAAGGATGCGGATGATGCAGGTGATGCCGGGGATGTTGTCCACTATGGGCACCCCCCAAAAAACACTCGTTTTTTGACTCCGCGGGGAGATGCTCAAAAAGCCGCCAAAAATCGCCTGAACAAATCCGCAAATCCTTCGCCCCTTATAAGGGTGGGCCCAGCTTGGCGCAGCGCAAAAGTTCGGCACATGGTCGGCGGTGGTCGGCGGCACAGGGCGGACGGCCTTATACCTGAAGGTAGGCCCTGCGGGCCTAGGCCTTCGGCGATGTCACGGACCACGGGGTCAGGGGCCCCCGGTGGCCGGATTTACACGCTGACGCGACACAGCCGGCCACCGGGCACCTTGCCCTGCTCGTTCTGTCACTTCCCTTTCCTGTAAGTCCGATTAGTAGATGTTAAGATTTTCAGATTCTAAAAACTTTGAGATTCTAAGGGTCTCAGATTTGAAGACTGTCGGAATTTAAGGTTTCAATGGTTTAAGAATTAAGGTTTTAAGATTCAAAGATTTAAAGTTTTTGAAGGTTATAACAGCCAGGCCATTGCCCAGCCATTTTCCATCTATTATCAGATTTCGAAGGCTTTAAGATTTTATTTTTCGGAGATTTTCAGATTTGGCGACTTTCGGAATTTAAGATTTTAAGATCTCAAGATTTCAAGGCTTCAAAGTTTCAAGATTAAGAGTTTAAGGAATTTAAAATATAGCCCGGATTGAAGGAATCTTATTATATTTTACTTGCTTCTGAAGTTAAGATTTTCAGATTGCAATAGTTCGAGATTTAAAGAATTTCAGTTTTGAAAGCTTCTGAGATTTTAAGACTTTGAGAATTTAGGAAGTTCATATTTTTAGATTTTAACATCTGAAGAATCAAAGACATGAGGGTTTTAAGAAGTCAAGATTCGAAGACTTTAGGATGTTTATATTTTCAGATTGTAAGATTCGATCTTCTAAGGTTGTAAGTTTAAGATCTTGAGGTTTCAAGATTTCCAAATTTCAAGAGTAAGAGTTTAAGACTGTAGGAATTTCATATTTTAAGAGTTTAAGATCGCAAGATTCTAAGACATAAGGGTGGAGATTTCAAGATTCGAAGACTTTAGGATGGATTTTAAGATAAGATTCTAAGTTCGAAGATTTTAAGATCTCGAGATTCTAAGATTGATTGTTAGATTTTAATTTAAGATTTTAAGAATCTAAGACTTTAGGATTTTGAGATTTCAATCCAGGCCATTTTCCATCCATTTTCCATCCACTTTAAGATTTTAAGATTTTCAGGTTGCACGTTTTCGGCAAAGTTGGCCCGACTTAGGGGACAACATCCCCAGCATCCCCCGAGACTTTAGGATGTTTTTATATTTTCAGATTTTAAGCTTTAGGATTTTGAGATTTCAATCCAGGCCATTTTCCATCCATTTTCCATCCACTTTAAGATTTTAAGATTTTCAGGTTGCACGTTTTCGGCAAAGTTGGCCCGACTTAGGGGACAACATCCCCAGCATCCCCCGAGACTTTAGGATGTTTTTATATTTTCAGATTTTAAGATTCTAAGTTCGAAGATTTTAAGATCTCCAGATTCTAAGATTGATTGTTAGATTTTAGTTTAAGATTTTAAGAATCTAAGACTTTAGGATTTTGAGATTTCAATTCCATCCATTTTCCATCCACTTTAAGATTTTAAGATTTTCAGGTTGCACGTTTTCGGCAAAGTTGGCCCGACTTCGGGGACAACATCCCCAGCATCCCCCGCATCACCGGCATCATCCGCATCAATGTCCG